CACAATGGCTTTGCGGTTCTTGGAGGAAACATTGTGAGCGATCTCAGCACAGTAAGATTTGTTGCACATCAGCAGCACTTCCAGCTCCTTGACGTTGTGGACCAGGAACTTCCGGAAGCCACTGGGCAGCATGTGCTTTGTTTTCTTGTTGCTCCCATAACCAGTGTTAGGCATCAAGATCTGGCCCTTGAACCTTCTACGAACTCTGTTGTCAATACCTCTGGGTTTCCGCCAGTTACGCTTAATTTTGACATATCGGTCTGACTGGTGCCGGATGAACTTCTTGGTTCTCTTTTTGACGATCTTGGGTTTCACAAGGGGTCTAAGGGCAGCCATGATGCTGAGGAGGAGATCGCTGCTACCTCTGTAGGCAGCGCCAAGGAAGAGAGAAGGGCCTCTCCCTTCTCTTTAACTTAGGAAGGCTTGAGTAAAGCTGGAGTCTCACAAGGACCTGTGCTCTCTGGGCCCTTCTCTCTTTGCTGTTCTAGGAATGGCCAAGCACACTCTGGAGACAGGGGCTTTGCATTTGCTGTTATCTCTGCTTGGTATATGCATGGTATACACCTTTTACTCACTCAGCGTCTCTGCTATAAAGCTATTTTCTCAAAGAGATATTCCCTGATTCTCCCCTTTCCTCCTTATTTGCTTTATTTTTCTATGGGTAACCTCAGGGGAGAATGGATATATATATCTCTCTTTATCTCTCTACTCTAGAATGTGGGCTCTGGAAGGAGTTGTGTCCAAAGAAAAACTTCCCCTTCACTCTCTGTAGGTTTGCTGAAAATTACTGACAGATTAATAGGCAAAAAGGCATACAAATTTATTTGATCATAGTTTCCTGTGGCACAGTTATCCTCAGAATGAAGATCCAAAGATATAAGGGAAATTGTTTACTTTTATGCTTAGGTTCATGGGACAGAATCCATAGATTGTAGTGTAGAAATATGACTGGGCCACAAAAGGCATGATCTAATGCTAACAGACAGAATGGGGAGACCCAGCAAGGCTTGTCTGGATTCTTCTTGGCCTCCTGAGCCTGTGTTCCTTCCTTCTGGATATAGGGCAAGTGCCTCTTGGAATAGGGACCTGATGACCTACAGGCAAACAAGGTAGGTCAGATAATTTCTTTACGGCCAATTTTTACACAAAAAGGTGAGAGGAAAGTTACAATAATAGTTTTAGATTTTATGGCAGGCTTTGATGAAAAAGGGTTCTCCTTTCTATGAACTGCCTTGGGGAAAGAGGGGTTCTAGTTTCTATGGGTAGCCTCAGGGGAGAATGGGACTGGAGAGACAGGAGGGAAGAAAGGTCAGAGAAAAACTTTTGCTTCTGAGGCTGCTTTCATTTTGCGGTATTGCTTTCTCAGTCCCAACATGATATTGCCTTTGTAATTTTGTTGTCATTCAGTAGAATGTTGTCACATAGATGGTCAATACATTTTTACTGAATGAAACATAACTCCCAAGGTGGCACAAAACCAAGTAACCAAAATCTTACATGTGAGAGCAAAGATATTAGCACAATACTGAATATATTTCTATTCATTTACTTATATTTTATGTCCCAGCTATCAGGCTTCCTTCCTCATGGATTCCTTTATTCTCACAGTACTAAATCTCAACCATATACTCCCAACCCCTGAAAGCCTTCCCTACTCTTACAATTCCAGGAAGGACTAACAAAACAATACATCTGGTGACCCACTTAAAATGGGCCACACTTAAAGCTGTCCTGTGTAAAAGGAGACCATCTTAAATGGACCACCCTGAATGTTACATGAGATGGTGCCTTTCTGCCAATAAGCTTAGTAGAGTTTTATAAATAAAAAGATGATGTTAGAGAGAAGGGTTCTTTCCTCATCTTTCTCTTTCTGTCTCTGCCTCTGTATGTCTCTCTTTTAATTCACATAGAGAATTTTATTATATAAATCTTCTGCTAATCCATGCAGAAGATTTATATAATAAACCCAGAAGATTTCCCTGGGTTGAAATGACTAAGCAATTTCAACCCAGGGAAATGATTCTTTTGGTTTAAGATCTGCCTATGATGATTTATTGATGCTAAAGAGCAAGATTCAGTTTTGTAAAAAACTAGGGCAGACTAGATTCTACAGAAGCAACTTTTCTAAGTGAGGATAGATCCTCTAATCACTTCTTGGTACCTACAGGATTTCTTCTGGGTCCCTAAAAGGAATCTCACATTCAGGAGGAAAAACAAAACAGAAAACAGGCTAGTTGATAGCTGCTTCAAGAATGCAGTTGCTGGCTATCTCCTGACAGGGGGTTCTGTTGTGCTTTGAAGAATAATATGAAAATTCAAGCTCAGAATGAGCTTCTGCAATTTGAAAATTAAAACTCCACCCTAAACCTTCACCAGAATCTGAAGCCAAATCCTTTTAGATGTGCAGGAGGGATCTGCTTACTGTGTATGGAAAATTATTTTCTTTTTATTAGCAAGCTCCAGGGTTTCCTGGTGATCTGAAGGGCCCCTGCCTCTCCAAGGGCAGTCCTAGGGCATTCTTGGCACAAACAGAGGCCAGGGAGATTGGAAATACTATTTTGCAACATTTTCTGCATGGTTTTAAAGTCAAGGAAGACAAACGGTTCTGATAATTTCAGCAATACCTTTGAATGTGAATTGCTTCATTGTCCTGAGCTGACCTGCTGAGGTTAAAAATCAAACCAAACCAAAACAAAAAAATAAAAACAAAAACTGAAACCAACATACCACAAAAACTCTTCCCTTTCTCAGCCAGCCTGTTTGACCCAGAAAAAGGTAGCTATCTTGTTCCTATTATCATCAAAACCAACACAAGACTCTCCTCATTGCTTTTTAGACTCATGGTGGGGAAGGGTGGGGTGGGGGTGTATGGGTGGATGGCAGGGGGTTCAGTAGTTGTCTTAGTACATTTCTTTTGCTGCTGTAAAAGAATATCATAAGCAATAGAAGTCTATTTGGCTTACAGTTCTGGAGGCTGAGAAGTCCAAGATTAAGGGGCCATATCTAGTGAGGGCCTTCTTGCTGCATTATAACACAGCAGAAGGCATCACATGGTGAGAGAACATGACATTAAACACAAGATTGAATTCACGGCCTCAAGTCCTTTTATAATTGGCATTAATCCATTTATGAGGGTAGGAGTCCTCATGATTTAAACACATCCCATTAGGCCCTGCCTCCCAACCACTGTTGCACTTGAGATTAAGTTTCCAGCACATGCCTTTCGGGGAACACATTTAAACCATTACAGCTGTCTTTAAATATTTTTCTTGATGTCACCATGTTCACTTTTATCTTCTCCCTATTGCTGAATTGCTCACCTCTAACAAGCAAGCCATCCTGACTTCTTCTCATCTCACCAAAAATCCCACCAAGAGACCTCCTTTAACTGGTTTATCTTGAATATTCCCCCCCACAATGATCTCCCTATCTGTCAACTACAGCAAAAATATTATTCAGGGCCCCAAGCACTCTGCTGCTGGAATCCAGGTGTTTTTTTCCACTCTCTTGCCTCTTATGTGAAATAAGACTGTTTCTAGCAATCTACTGACTTTTCTGAGATGCAAGACCATCCCTGGATTTCCTACCCCGAGACGAAACCCTTGAATTTCACTGGGCTATAGGCTCCTTGGTCCAACCACAGCTCCACCAGTGGCTCCTCCGTCACCTCCCTCTGCCTTTTAAATGCTCTGCAACCCACACACTTCTTTTCTATTTTAACATCCATTCACCGACATAAGAACTGCTCTTTGTTCATGTTTCCCAGACTCCAGCTTTTCTAGTGCCAGTGTGCTCCACTTGCTGAGTAATCCTGTCTGTCAACTATGGTTTATTACAAAATGAGTATGCCCTAACCCGCACTTCCATATGGCCTCATGATATTATTACAGTTACATTCCCTGACTACCATGGGCAAAATGAAACACATGCTGCGAAGGTAGGTATGTGTTATGCTGGTTCCCAAGGCAAACTTTGAAAGAAAATGAGTGCGGTCTCCTTAGGACTTTTTCCACTCATGGGCCCCTTCTTTGAATGGGGCTTCCTAATAGTCACTGTTTCTCAATCAATAGCATGAAATGCTTGCTTCTGAATCTTGTTTGTAAGTCTTTAAAACAGAGAGGTGATGATAAGTGGGGACTGTAATAAAGCCTCACTAGTGTACTTGATAATCTTATGTGCACTATGAAGTTTGAGAAAAGATAAGAGTGGGGCAATGGGTAGAGATGGTTTCACGAAAGAACTACCTTGGGCCAGGCATTAAATAGTTACTTTGTATATGCTCCTTATTTAAATGTGGCAAGAAACTTTCATTTCAGACTTATCATTGGATCAGATTTTTCAGAGTTTATTTCCTAGCTGCTAATTTTCTGGATTCATTATTTAGTGCATGAATTTAAGAAGCTGAGCAATATGAGTTCAAATAATTCTTCTTTTCTGTGGGTAAGCATTTTAGTGCCTTAAAATAGGATTATCAATTTGTCATCTGTAAAATACGGGAATGACAACGCCTAATGAGATTGATGTGACAAATAACTGAGATATTTTAATCCAGCTGTGAATTACAGTGACTGTTCTATAGCAGGCAGTAAGTGAGAGCAGGGGTTATAATTTTTACCTAGACATACGTTTCTGGCCAGGGAGGAGGCACCCAGAATCAATCCTGTTGGTATTAAAATTTTTTCTTTAAGTTTTGCAGATAAAAAGTAAGGCCATGGTTCATAAAAATTCTGAGCTCAGAGTAATGTGCTCATGGGTGCTCACAGAGCTAGTGAGGAAAAATGAAAGGAAAAGGGAAAGTCAGTACACAGACACACACACACACCCCTACACACACACTACCCCTCAGTCTTTCAGATAGGGTCTTTAACAGTGAGCCAAGGTTCACTTACAGAGCTCCCATAACAAATGACCATATGGTGAGCATTTGACAGAGGGAAATATACGTCCTTTAAGGAAGCTCTTAAGTTCTCACAAATTCAATAAGAATAGAAGAATGTCTTAAACATGAGAAGATGTTGGAAACATAGGGAAACCCTCAGTAGTTTATTCTTTGTTAAAACTCACAACACTGAGGTTTATGCCTACATGCAGCCCTCTGAGTTAGGATGCATTCTTCCACAATACAGCCTGTAGAAAAACAGATCTGCGTGTCCTTTAATCCGTGACCACTGTAGATCAAATTACCTCTTTGAAAGAACTTTTCTTTCTCTAGCCAACTAAATGAATAGAAAATGATGTACTTAATTGTTTTCTAAATTGCAATTTTTCTCTCACAGATGTTTTTTATCAGTGTTGAGCCCAATGGGCTCTGTCGGTCACACGGGGAGATGAAGTCATGTGGTAATAAAAGAGACGGGGTTGGGGGAGGAAGGGAAATACC